AATGTTCGGTTATCTCATTTTCATTGCTTTGAAATTCTTGTTGTTCTCCAATATTTTAACATATCTCTTGGCATGCTTATATATAAAGGAGCTATTAGTTGAGAGGGAAATAGGGAATTGATAGAGCTTTCCAAAATTTTTGACATGCAGATGTGAGGAAATGCCAGTCCAGTTTTAATCCTTCCAGATTTTTCTACACCTACGCTGTTAATGTTATTATTATCTGAGCACATTACGTGCAATCGGCTAACCAATAACAATAACATGTGCGATAAACGACCACAGATGTAAGCACACTTACGCGCCTGGAAACAAAGACGTGCCTTAAATCGAGCTCACGTTGCTTAGGTGGATCCGGCTTGTGATGTACAAACGCCCTTGAAGCATCGAGGATATATATATACATCAATATATCTCACAAGTCAGATAAGCGAAACTAATCAAGATTTGGGATATTTATTTCTTATCTCTGTACAGTCGTGCACTACAGTATTAAAGTTTAACCCCCCTAAAAGTTCAACGGATCTCTGAGCAATCGAAACAATTGGGTCGTTGGATCATTCATCGATAGCGAATATCAAAGAAAAAACCATTCCTGACTACAAAACTGTAGAAGAGAAGAGGAGAGTCATTACACGCAAGTAAAGAGTTGATTATAAGAATAAATTAAAATTAAGTTGGCTTTCTTATTGGAACATTTAAATTGTTGTAATACTATGTGTAACTTGAGTAAAATAAAACAAACAGGTTTTCTTTATTTTTTCGCGTGATCATGCGTAGCTACGCTCGCACGCTATGTGACATTATTCATGCGTACCAACCTTTGCTATTATTAATGCAGCTATTAAAAGCTCACTCACACTCAATGAGTGGAGGTTCAATCTGAGCTTCTCTTGAGTGTCATTGCTGTTTTTGAATAGCTGGAGGGTGAGCAGTAGTCACATAGTAAGGTATGATACTATATAGCCCTCCAGCTATTCAAAAACAGCAATGACACTCGAGAGAAGCTCAGATTGAAGTTCCACTCATTAACCCTCCAGCTATTCAAAACTAACACTAAAGGGAAGCTGAGATTGAACCTCCACTCTTTGAGTGTGAGTGAGCTTTTAGAATACAGGCGTCTCCCAACAAAGGGCCTTCGCTCGAAACGTCGAAGTTCTCCTTGTATATTACAGGTAGCACAGGAGGCCCAGGCTCGATTTGCCCGCGCCCGCCTGTGCCTTCCTTATAACGTGGGAAGGAAGGAGACATTGAGACCAAAATAGCCCAGACTTGGCATATGTCACACGAAACTAT